ATAACAAAAATTTGCTTTTTGGTCCACAAGACGCTACAATGTTTTTAGCATTAAAGACATTAGGATACCTTCAAAGTTGATGAAGTGCTTTTCTAGAAAAATAAAACATTTTAAGGACAATGTTGACAAGTATGAAATATGCTGCTATTTCCAAAATGTTCACTGTCATTTTCCCATCTATATAGATGTTAAATGATTATCAGAATAAATTCTCCTTGACAAGTCTACACCTGTACCGGTCCAGTTGGAACAGATAAAATTAATCTTAAGACATCTTCTACTTTTATATGAGATATTACTGCTGTAGCATTCTTTTTCCCTTTCCTTTCTCTTTTGCGTAAGAAATGCAAACAATAAACACCAGTAACTCTAAAAATACATATTTAAGCTTCTCTGATTGTCTTCTGTTATATGAGAGAAATATCATAACACATATTTTTAAATGTAACATCATTTTATGCTAATGAACTGAGTTTATGTACTTCACTGAAAATTAATATCCTCATATTGTTCATAATTTTTAACTAGTCAGATTCCTGTCATTTTAGAGAAATAACATTTTAATGTTAAACTGCTGTTTCTGGTGGAAAAGCATTCTGGGGTGAGATTAGGATATTAAATGATGACTAGTCTATTTATATACGAAATATATGATATAAGTAGCTTTTTGTTTACAATACATTTAATGATATGCATTGTACAGTAGACATAGTTTGAAGTAAATATAATTTAATTTGTATTTGAACTGCCTGAAGAATTGTGGTAGGCAATTTCAGTATCGGAAATTATGTTTTACCTTAAATAGTTTCTTTCAATATTGAAGAACAAAGAATGTCTTAGAGAAACTTCACTTCTGTAAAGGAAACAAGACAAATTAGTAGAAGACAAGCCATTTTGCTAGTTCTGGAATGATTCTATCATACCATTTGCTTTACAAAGATTTCCAATCCTAAACAGTTTATTAATGAAAAAGAATGGAACAGAAACAAAGATGGATGTAAAGAAGTAAATTATGCTATTCCATAAAATTATATAATTCCATATAAAATTATATAATTCCTTATAATTATATAATGACAAAATGTAGTGCCTAGCATATAGATACATACTTCAGGACTATAGATTTTTTTTCTTTCCTTCTTTCCTACGATTTCCTTATGGAAATTGATTAGATGCTTTTAATGTTACAGTTACGTGTGAGAATATTGAAATATATGGATAAACAGATTATTGTCTAATCCCTGAAAACTTGACACAAACTACCTTTAGGAATAAAAGTACTGTCTGTTTGTAACAACCATCAAAAGATAGAAAACTGATTAAATATATTTCAAGACTTCAGTAATTCTTAATCCCTCTTGACTGAGTCTTATATGTATTTATCTATATATGGCACTCTTTTAAATGGGTATTTTAGTTTTGCATGTTTGCTTGCTTCTGTTTTAACAGACCAATTATTTAGGAGATAATTATGCATTTTACAATCTGTGTATTGTCTTATTTTCTCCATAGAAAAATCTGCTTCATTGAATTCTATTGTTCAAAGAGCAATTTAGTACTTATTCCACTTCTTCATTATTAAACATATTTATTGTCATTATCAAGTTCAGAGAAAAGTTAGACATTCATCCTTCTTCTCTTCAGTTAGAGCTATTTCTGTTAACAGTACTTTTTTTCTTTGAAGTTCCCAGGTATGCTTTGCTATAAAAAAAAAATATATATATATATGTCTTTAGCATTAGCATGTTTTGGAACTCAGATGTTTTCAATACACATATAAATTGTATTTCTGACCTTGGGTAATTCCTCTCTAGCCAAGATAATTCATTATATGCAGTGAAAAATATACATAATTCTTTATGTGTTAAAAGAGAGAGAGTGAGATAGAGAGACGTGACTCTGGTCCTCTCACTTACAGCGTAAATTTCTAAAAAGTGCTTCCAGCAAGTCCCTGGATCCAGCTTAGCACATAATTGCCAAGTGGGCCAGCTGGCTTGAGGAAAGAATGCTACATCCACTTGGCAACAATTAAAATTTCAGAAGAAAAAAAGCAGGCCAATTTCAAAAATTCAGGCAAGTTTTTGATATTCCTTGATATCAAACCAGCAAGTGGAGACTGACTGTACAGCATACCTAGCAAGTCAATGAGTTATGCCAGATTTGAACTGAATTCTGGGGGCCTTTTTTGGATTGAGAAACTGTAAGAAACCTCAAAGGGAATTTATTCCATACTGACCAATAGCTAAGGTTTCAATTTTATCAGAACTATTTATACATAATTTTGTGTAAATGGAAGTTTTGTTTCAAACAAACAAAAACAAAAAGGCTTGTTTCCTTATGAACTTCACTTAATAGATTTTACCCACACCTTCCCACAAACAGTATTGCATCCTATGGAAAAGAACATAACCTTTAGTTTAATTATTACTGCATGTGACTCTACTCTCAGGTATACTGCAACAATGCATCTTATATTGACCTTTGAGTGATTAGGGGAAAAGGCTTCAATATGTAATTTGATAAAACTGATTAAAGACTTCCTGTTGAAGTTGTAAGCACTCTACTGCAATTTAGGAATATTAGGAAGAACTTCTTTGCTGAAAGGGTTGTTAGGCATTGGAATAGGCTGCCCAAGGAGGTGGTTGGCTCACCAGGTCTTTAAAAGACATTTAGTTTTAGAGCTCAGTGATACGGTTTAGTGGAGGACTTGTTAGTGTTAGGTCAGAGGTTGGTGAGGTTAGGTCAGAGGTTAGGGGATCTTGGAGGTCTCTTCCAACCTAGATGATTCTGTGATTCTGTGAAATTTCTGTAAAGTAGCATTACTTGATTTACTTCTACTATCTGGTTGAATTTGACAACAGAAGGAATGGCAATTTTCATTAAATTCTGTTTGAAGTCCTTTAAAGAATACCAAACTCCTGACAATTCAGGAGATAAGGGAATAAAAATAATTAGATCTGTACTTGATCTACTAAATTCCAGGAGATCCTGCTCCAAAAGGTGCTTTCAAACACATTCTCTATATTCTTGATCATAAAATCATCCAAGAAAACAAATGTACTTAGTGATTTGGAAATAAATAAATAAATAAATAAAGCTTTCTATTCCTAGTATAAAAAATTAACAAAAAATTAACAAAATCTGCATAGATTCAATAAGTAGACTTGCACAGACTTTTCAAATGAAATTTTATCTTTGGCAAGTTTAGTAAGATAGTTCATGTTATAAATTATTTTTTTATAAAATACAAAACAAAAATACTATTTTTGTTCAGACAAGCTAGAAAATATGGGCTGAAGCTCTTATTACAACTTGAGGTCATGCTACCACAATCCTACTTGACTTTTTTTTTTAGCTATTTCCTTCAGTTATGGGCCACCAATGGTATGAAAGATGAAGATGGATATACCAAGGCACATCCTGGTTAAGCCTAGATTGCTATAGAGATTTCCCTTCTTATCTCTTGACCCTGACTTCTGTCATTATTGTGGAAATTTCTCATGTTTCTAAGATGTAGACTGGTGTTATGGTATAACCTGGCAGGCAGCTAAGCACCACACAGCCATTTGCTCACTCCCCAGCAGTGGAATGGAGGTGTCCAAGTACTCATGGGTTGAGATAAGGACAGTTTAATAAGAAAATGAAGAAAGTAACAATAACAAACAAACAAGGGATCCACAATGCAATTGCTCACCACTTGCCAACTGATACCCAGCCCATCTCCAAGCACTGGCAGCCTCCCCAACCAACTTCCTCAGTTTCATTATTGTTATAAATGGCTCAGGATTCAAATTAGGATTAAATTAAAAAATAGGATTTATTAAAAGAATATAAAGGAATAGAGGTAAGCAAACAGCGCTGGGTGCACCGGGAGTCTCCGCTCCACCAGGACGCACACCAGTTACATCAAGCAGCTAATTTTTATGCTCCTAGACTAATACATATTCATTACTACTTCTAAAAAAAACAGGTTATTATAATTAGTTTCCGGGGTCCAGTCCCTCCTACTGGAGCATGCGCATCAGTCTCCTCTGGGGGTCTCTAGGGGTCTTTCATGCTGAAGGCTCGTAGTCTTCCTCTCAACTTTGTACTCACTCGGCACTATTCCAAGTTTATAGAACCCTTTCTGCAGGTCTTGTCTCCCAACCATCCTTCAGTTTCTTTTTCCTTCCTCTTAATCTCTTAGCCCCCTGGCCAGATACCTAAGATCCACATAGTATCCCATAACAGTCACTAGTTGTTATCAGTTGTTCTGAAACTCCCAGACATCAAACACAAACAGCTTTCTTATTTGACGCTTCACGAGTAATTAAAACATTCTTCCCAAGCGATTCACAGGGACAGTCACATCTATAGCAGTGTTAAGTTAATCTCGAAGAAGACAGGAAAAAAGGCTGTAACTGTTAGAAATAGAAGTCCGGAATAACAAAAGCAAACAGGTTCATAAATTTAAGGAGTATTTTCTGAAGACTTGATAAATTGACTAGAATGAGGGGGAGACTGGGACACAATGCATCTGTGGTTCAAGAATTAAATTGCCAGTGCAGGGCCAAGAGGCAGACAGGATTCAAACAGAATTGTTCTTTATGGACACAAATCTATGGACACGAATTGGAATTGTAAAAACATTCCACAAAAACCCAATCAAAAAACAAGGGGTTGTACATCTACTCTGTTATGTCATCAGCAAAATCTGTATAGGTTTTATTCTGGTTGGACCTGCAGAGCAGCCTCTGGGAGACTGCTGACCTTGAGGAGCATCGCCTGGGTACACAGCTATTCCCTTGCAGAAGCGGTGCTGTGGAAATCACAGAGCATCTTCAAGGAGTGGCTGGAAACTAGGAAGAGATTGCTACATTCTTTAGTTCTCATTGCTCGGGCAACTGATTTCCCTCCCCAGCTGGAAAACGTAGAGGGACATCAAGGAGGCCAGAAGGGAGCTATCACACGGGGAAGGGGAAGCAAGGTCTAGGGAAGAAGCGATCCCCTTGAAACACAGCTTTATGTGCTTCTTTGGAGTGGAAACACCCGTGGTACAGCACCAGCAACAAGTGCTGGGCAGCAACATCTGCTCTGGCCGTTCCACTGTGATGTCACTGTGGTGACTGCGGGTGTCACGGTGATGTTCAAGCATCTCCCACCAGAACGCCCAGACAGACCAGCTGGGTCTCACTTGCTGACTGGCAGGACGAAGACTGAGCTGCCCACTGAAATGGCTTCAGGCGGAAGTTTCAGTGAAGATGAGACAAAAGAAATTAAAAGGGAGCCGCTTCCAGCAGAAACTTCACCCGATGCTGCTCCAGACAAGCCGGTTGAATCCTCAGAGTCCCCTTCTGCTGAGCCTCCGGGACAGGATGGAGGAGCAGCTTCTGATGGTGCTGCAGCATCAACGGAGGGAGGAAAGGATTGCCCAGCTTCCACTGATAACCGTGAGAGCAGACGCGGTAGTTCTTCTGAGGAGCGTGCTGTCAAAACCAATGTCTTCTCCTTCCTCAGTTTCCCAACGAAACTGTGGTACCTAGTTGAAAGCGACGAGTTTAAGAGCATTTGCTGGGCTCGCTGTGAAAGCTGCATTGTGATCGATGAGGAAATGTTTAACGTAGAAGTGCTGGGGAGGACCGGGCCGCAGAAAATTTTTGAGGCTGACAGTGTGAAGAGTTTCGTTCGTGAACTTAACCTGTACGGATTCACCAAAATGAAATGGACCTTCCCAAGATCTGCCTCGCTTCCCAAATTCATGGCAGAAGATGCATTTTCTGCTCATAGGAAGGTACATCACTTGCTCCACACATGAACCAACACTCACGATATTCTAGTGGGAGATAGGGGGGGTTAAATAAAGTAGGCCTTGGCAATAGAGGAGGTGAGGACGACAGTAAGTGTTCTAAACTTAATGTCTTTCTCAGGCTGGTGTCGAGGTATTTGTCAGGTGGCATTGATGAGTGGTAGAAATGTGGATACACTATATTTGGGTTATACTCAATGAGTTTAAATTAATGGAATGGAAATATAAATAAATTGGGCTATGAGGAGTCTACTCAGTTTAATATAGTTGCAAGATCTCTTGCTGTGCAATATCTGAATTCTTGTTTCAACTGTAGGATGCACATTAGCAGGGTAGTCTTACCTTTACCTCTATGTTAATGCTACGCAGAAGCATCTGCCGAGTCATGGTAGCTGGGTTTCTCAATCAACGATTTTTTATTATTTTTGGGAAATGGTAGCAACTAACTCTCCTCCTTTGCATTTTTTTAGTTACTCCTCTACCACAACCCCAACTTCAAGAGGTATTCTCCCCACCTGCTCATCAACTGCAATCGCCGTGCCGCCCTGAAGAGGAAAGCCACGGCTGCCCCTGCAACACAGGCGGATCTGGATGCAAAGTGCCCCAGCAGCAGCAGCTCAGGCATCCAGCATGGGCGGGGAGCAGATGCTGGGCAGGAGAAGGACGGGATGGAAAAAGCTGCAGAAGAAGACACGCAGACAGCAGCCCCCCCAGGGTCCCCTCTCCCAAAGCGCCAGGCAAAAGCCCCCCCCCAGGCTAGCGGTGCCCATCCAGCCTCATGCACGGATGCTCCCTCCCTGCCAGGCCCCGCTGCAGAGGCAGCAGGCAGGGACAATCAACAGCCTCCGGCCTCCCCCCAGCTGCCAGCACGCAGCAGCCAGAGCCCACCTGCCTCTCCTACTCCCACACGGTACCACTTTCTGCCTCTCATGGGACCCGCCTTGCCACCTATGCACCGAAACGCGGCAGCTGCGCGCTTTCCCGGGGCTGCCAGACCTCCCTTGCGTCCACTTGCAAGTCCCGGGCTGGCAGCAGCCTCTGCCACGGCCATGCCAAATCCACCCGACTGGCAGCCCTCAGCACCCCCACACTGCCCAACTTGCACCTGCGGCTCAGACAGGACAGCTGCAGGCGATGGGCCGGCACCCTAGCGCAGGACCCACTAGGGATAGCAGGGAGAGCGGCACCCACTTCCAGGTTCAGAGTTGTTCACAGTTGTTCACAGTTCATAGGCTGATTGTTCTGAAAATAGTTGTTTGCATAATAAACCTTTTACAGTTCTCCTGTGTCCATTTATTATTATTATATACATTTTTATGGTGTAACCTCAGATTGAGTTTGCTTTTCTTTCCTCAGAAGGAAGGACAAGCAACTGTTCTGACATCAATGTGATGGTTTTCTGTAACAGCCAAGCTCTAGGTACTTAGCTGCAGAGAGTAAAAGACCGGGTAATGTTGGCATGCTGCATGCACCGAGGATGCTCTTCCTAACGATGGCTTCTGAGGGCAAGTTGAGAAAGTCTAATTAAATAACAGCATTTTAATTAGAGAAGACTCAGAAAGGGAACGTCACCTTCATAGTAGGATGAATGCTTACAAGGGAAAGGCCCTACATTGCCAGGCAGTAACAACCTGTGCTTAAATTTCTGAGCTAACATTCATGAAGGTGCTGAGAAATCAAGTGCTTTGGAGAGGCATCCCTGAAAAGCAAGAGAGCAGAGTCCAGAACTGATGAAAAGATATGTATTTAAAATATTGATATTTCTAGAAATGTTGGACCACTCGGTGCATAAGGAACTGGCTGGGTGGTTGCACTTGAAGAATTGCAGTCAATGTCCAAGTGCACAACAGTCATGAGCGGTGTTCCTCAGGGACCAGTCTTGGGACCACTGCTTTTTCATGTCTTTGTTAGTGTCATGGGCAGTGGGATCAAGTGCACCCGCAGCAAGTTTGCCAGTGAGCCCAAGCTGAGTGGTGCGGTCGACATGCTGGAGGGAAGGGATGCCATTTAGAGGGACCCGGCTCAAGAGGTGCACCTGTGAGAACCTGACGGAGTTCAACAAGACCAAGTGCAAGGCCCTGCGCCTGGGCCCTGGGTGAAGAATGGATTGAGAGCAGCCCTGAGGAGAAGGCCCTGGGGCTGTTGGTTTGATGAGAAGCTCAGCATGAGCCAGCAGTGTGGGTTTGAGGCACAGAAAGGCAGCTGTATCCTGGGCTGCATCAAAAGCAGAGTGGGCAGCAGGGTGAGGGAGATGATTGTCTCCCTCTTCTCTGCTCTTGTGAGATTCCACCTGGAGCCCTGTGCTCAGCTCTGGGGCCCCCAGCACAAGAAGGACACACAAGTATGACAATGAGTCCAGAGGAGGGCCCCAAGGATGGATGGACGAAGGGGCTGGAGCACCTCTCCTGTGAAAACACGCTGAGGCAGCTGAGGTTGTTCAGCCTGAAGAACAGAAGGCTCTGGGGAGACCTTACAGTGACCTTACAGTGCCTAAAGGGGGCCTGCAGGAAAGCTGGGGAGGGACTCTGTCAGGGAGTGCAGTGACAGAACTTTTTTGGGTAATGGTTTTAAAATAAAAGAGGGTACAATTAGATTAGATATGAGGAGGAAATTCTTTACCGTGAGGGCAGTGAGGCACTGGCACAGGCTGCCCAGAGAAGCTGTGGGTGCCCCATCCCTGGAGGTGCTCAAGGCCAGGCTGGATGGGGCTTTGGGCAGCCTGGTCTGCTGGGAGGTGTCCCTGCCCATGGCAGGGTGGGGTTTGTTCATCGTTATAAAAGGACTGATATTGTTGTGGCTCATTCGGAAGTAATAACATTTATTTGTAGCAGGAATGGGAAAAGAATTGAAGTTTATCTACTGAATCTTGGTAATGCTTTAATTTAAATGAGTAGAGAATAAAATACAACCTAACTACAAGCTTTTGAAGATTAACACGTAGAGCTTAGTCACTTATGGATATCTAAGGTGGCCAATCTTAAAGGGCTTGATTTTCCACAGTTCTGTGCTTACAGTTTTCTGAGCATCCTTTTTAAGTGTTACCAAATTGGTCACCATCCTCTAGTTGCCATTTTAAGGTTTTGACTATTTTCATAACAGTTAAAAGATTGATTTTGTCACTAAACCTTAAAAGGTAAGTGCTATGCAGTTGTTTTTTCTTCTCTCCAATCTGAAACTGACCTGAAGAAGTTCATCTCCATTGCATTAGGGAAGATCAGAATAGAACTTGATGATTCCTGTAGTTTTAAGAGATGCACATTTAGAAAAATCGGATTCATTAACACTTTGTTGGCCTAGAAAATGGCATTATTTTGAGATTAGCTCTTGCAGGTTTGCACTCTAGTGCAAAGAAGGTTTTCACAACTAGGAAATTGTTCCGTGACAAAACGGGATATGACAATTTGAAGATGTGTAAAGACTTCCAGAAATTGCTTTGGAATGGGTATCAGCGATTCAAGGTAAAGCAAGCCACTGAAGGCATTGCGCTTTATTTGAAGTCCATAACACTAGGACGATTTTATCTCCAACCCTCTCCAGAATAGGGGCAGGGCATGACAGGGGAAGGATGCCTTGGTTAGCAGAACTGAAACTGGATTTCATGCACTCGAACAAAACCCTGTTCAGGGAGAACAATGGACAAACATTGTTGTCTCTTTGCCTAACAGCAAGTGGTCAAGGCAAGAGCAGAGGTGCCACAGGAGGATCAACCGGCGACAGGGGGCAATCTCTCCTGCACCAGGCTAGACAGAGCTCTTGGCGTCAGGTGCTGGAACCCAACCTTCTTCAAGGCATGGGGGGAGAAAAGCCTTTGCCCACCAGCATGCGGGTGCAGATCTGCAGACATCTGAGGTGGAAGCAGTGGTGGCAGGCATGCCTGGCCATGTGCCTGACAAACTGCATCTCTGCTGCAGCACAACTCTTTGGTGGTGCCGTGCTGCTGCTGAAGCTGGCTGCAGCCTACTTGATGCTCAGGGAGGTGTCTGAGTCATCTAGCTGCACACCAAGCATCCTTTTGATGTAGTGCTCTTGGAGGCACCGGTCAGCCTGAGCCTGCGGGAGCAGCAGGAGCGCAGCACCGTCAGGCAGCAGTGGCAGGACTGTGGCAGAAGCTCCCAGGCTGCTTTCAGTGAGATCTGGAACCAGCGGGTGCTTTCCTCCACTTTCAGGTAGGAGCCGGAGCTGCTGCTTTCAGGTAGTAGCAGGGGAAGCAAGGTCTAGGGAAGAAGCGATCCCCTTGAAACACAGCTTTATGTGCTTCTTTGGAGTGGAAACACCCGTGGTACAGCACCAGCAACAAGTGCTGGGCAGCCACATCTGCTCTGGCTGCCTTTTTGGCCACTGTCCTTCCAAAGAATGGGCCTGGAGTGTGCAATCATTGACCAGCAGTGACTTCCTTTAGGAACCTGAAATATTAGGAATGGAAAGAAACACTGAATAAATGCTCTTCTCCAAACAAAAGCAGCACTTAGGAAAATGCCTAAACTGAAGTTAACTGGACTGCTGAAGTGGTAAGTAAGAAAAGAGGTTTTCACCTCCAGGTTGCTTACTTAATTCAAGAGCTGATCTAATAAGAAGCACCATGCAATGGTGCAACTGTGGGCCTGCATGAGCTGACTTTGCTTTTTGCTGTAGTTCCAACATGACACGAGCTACACTTCCTGTATATAATCATAAAATAATCACCCAATAGCCTGAGTTGGAAGCGACCCACCAGAATCATCAAGTCCAATTCTTGGCTCCACACAGGACCACCCAAAATTTAGACCATGTGTCTGAGAGCATTGTCCAAACGCTTCTTGTACTCTGTAGGCTCAGTGCTGTGACCACTGCCCTGGGGAGCCTGTCCCAGTGCCCGAGCACCCTCTGGGTGCAGAAGCTTTCCCTAACCCCCAGCCTGACCCTGCCCTGCCCCAGCTCCATGCCGTGCCCTCGGGTCCTGTAGCTGTCCCCAGAGAGCAGAGCTCAGCGCCTGCCCCTCCGCTCCCCTCCTGAGGGAGCTGCAGGCTGCCATGAGGCCTCCCCTCAGCCTGCTCCTGTCGGGGCTGAGCAAACCAGGGGAGCTCAGCCGCTCCTCACACGTTTTGCCCTCTAGACCTTCTATTTACCATTTCCCTAGCTTCCTTTGGACACTCTCTAACAGCTCTATGTACTTCTTATTTTGTGGCACCCAAAACTGCACACAGTGCTTGAGGTGAAGCCACATCAGTGCAGAGCAGAGCAGAGCAGAGCAGGACAATCCTTTCCCTCAGCTGGCTAGGAATGCCGTGCCTGATGCAGCCCAGGGTATGGGTGGCCCTCCTGGCCGCAGGGTACGCTGTTGATACCTATTCAACTTGCCACTGACCACAGTGCCCAGATCCCTTGCTGCAGGGCTGCTCATCCCCCACTCTGTATGCATAGGCAATGTTGCCCCAACCTACATGTAGGTGAAGAATCTGTCGCTTGTCCCTGTTAAACTTCATACGTCAGTGATTGCCTGGCACTCGGACTTGTCAAGATCTCGCCACAAGGCCTGTCTATACACAAGGGAGTTCACATCTCCTCATATTTAGTATGATTTGCAAACTTAGGATTTATTCCATCCATAGTGCATCCAGACACTACCTCTACATCGAACCTTTCCTTTACAAGAAGGGACCCATTTGACCCTGTAGAGAGGGGTGTGATTTAAAAGGCTTGGAGAACGTCACTGGTTTTGTTGAGTTGCTTTCCACACTGCTAAAATATCAAATCAAAGCCTAGGAACCTGTTATGAATGGCTCAGGATTCAAATTAGGATTAAATTAAAAAATAGGATTTATTAAAAGAATATAAAGGAATAGAGGTAAGCAAACAGCGCTGGGTGCACCGGGAGTCTCCGCTCCACCAGGACGCACACCAGTTACATCAAGCAGCTAATTTTTATGCTCCTAGACTAATACATATTCATTACTACTTCTAAAAAAAACAGGTTATTATAATTAGTTTCCGGGGTCCAGTCCCTCCTACTGGAGCATGCGCATCAGTCTCCTCTGGGGGTCTCTAGGGGTCTTTCATGCTGAAGGCTCGTAGTCTTCCTCTCACCTTTGTACTCACTCGGCACTATTCCAAGTTTATGGAACACTCTCTGTACACTCTCTGCAGGTCTTGTCTCCCAACCGTCTTTCAGCTTCTTTTTTCTTCCTCTTAATCTCTTGGCCCCCCTGGCCAGATACCAAGGATCCTCATAGTATCCCATAACAGTCACTAGTTGTTATCAGTTGTTCTGAAACTCCCAGACATCAAACACAAACAGCTTTCTTATTTGATGCTTCATGAGTAATTAAAACATTCTTCCCCAGCCATTCACAGGGACAGTCACATCTATAGCAGTGTTAAGTTAATCTCGAAGAAGACAGGAAAAAAGGCTGTAACTGTTAGAAATAGAAGTCCGGAATATCAAAAGCACACAGGTTCATAAATTTAGGGAGTGTTTTCTGAAGACGTTGATAAATTGACTAGAATGAGGGGGAGACTGGGACACACTGCATCTGTGGTTCAAGAATTAAATTGCCAGTGCAGGGCCCAGAGGCAGGCAGGATTCAAACAGAATTATTCTTTATGGACACGAATTGTTAACACATTCCTCACAATCCCTTATCTTCTTTTTAATATCAACAATTCATGTCTCTTCTGTTGTTAACTGGATTTCATCAGTCCGTTCTTGGAGGGTCCAATTCTTAAGCATCATAATTGACATATTCCCTTCCTTTTTTAACGAAGTTATTACCAATGTACTATTTATCACCCGGTGTATTAATAATGTAAGACAAGGTATCATACAAGGTATAAACAATAACATCTTTACACCACATAACAATAAAAATAACACTCTTTTAACCCATGGTCCACCAGGCAGCCATGAAAATAAATCCCATTCCATATCCTTCCAGGTTTGTGTTTGCTCGCTCACCTCCCCCCCCTCCTTCTCTGGGATGGGAGAGAGAAATGGGAAAGTGAAGCCTGTGAGTTGAGATAAAAACAAGAAAATAATAATAATAATAACAATAATAATGATGATAATATTACTACTAGTAATAATGTATACGAAACAAGTGATGCACAATGCAATTGCTCACCACCTGCTGTCTGATGCCCAACCTAACCCCGAGCAGTCCGGCTCTCCTCCCAGCCTGCCTGCTGGCAGGACAGTGAGAAGCTGAATTTGGCTTGGTCCTTGGCTTGGTGTAAGCACTGCTCTGTAACAATTCAAAACAATTAAAACATCAGCATATTATTAACATTCTTCTCATCCTAAACCAGAACATAACATTCTATCAGCTACTAGGAAGAAAACACCCTTTTTATCAATCTTTAAACAGCAATTACTAAAGCTAAATTTTCCACAGACTTCTCCTTCTTGTGCTAGTAAATAATCCAAAGTTAGGCAATTTTGATACAAAGCAGTTCTCATCATTATAACAATTATTGAGCATAACTTCATAGAAGATGGAATATCCTTTTGGCTAGTTTGGGTCAGATATCCAGTCTGTGTCTCCTCCCAGCTTCTTGTGCATCCCCAGCCTCCTCACTGACATGTCACCATGAGAAGTTGAAAAGTCCTTGGCTCTGTGTAATCACTACTCTGAAACATCAAAAACATTGGTGTGTTATCAACGTTATTTTCTTCCTATATCCAAAACATGACACTGTATCAGCCACTATAAAGCAAACTAACTCTGTCCCAGCCAAATCAGGACAATATCCACCTCTCCAATAATATTTAAGCCTTGCTCAGGTCCCACGCTTTCCGATAGATTCTAATTAACCACTGCCACCCTTCCCGCTTTATGACACGCAGACACTATCCCCTTAGTTTGTGGGCCATCTCTCTAAATGTCTGTTGTCATGTCTTTTAGTCCATGACCTTGGACTTCTTTGTGTCAAAATGGTACTTCAGGTCAGAAGGGATGCTGTCTGATGTTGGCCTGTTGCACGCTGAAGGCAGCTCTGGTTCCATCACCACAGAGCTTATTGTGTTCTATCACCACTGCTCTGTGCTTGGTTCCATCAAAATTCATTCTTCATCAGTCTGGGTGACTCTTACTGTAATAACATTAACAGAATAGTGATGGTATTCAGCATTATATAGATACAGAAACTGGAATATTACAATTCAAATCACAGGCTATTCTCACCCCAAATCAAATCCCCTGAGGAACACACTGGACTTCCCCATTTTCTGCATTACCCACCAAGTGTACTTGGGCCCCTGAACAAAAGCAATCCCATGGATGTTTGCCCTTGCCTGAGGCAGGAATAACCCAGTCTCCTCCAGTATGTTTTTTATATGCAATACAGGGACTTTATCCCCTTCTACAGTACATAGAAGTTTTGATTGGGCAAGACCAGCTTGGTTGGCAGATCCTCTAGTGGTGATTAACCAGGTGGCATTTGCTAAATAGGTACTCCAATATTTGCATGTCCCATCATTTTCAGTGTAGTCTTTAATCGTCCATTATATTGTTCAATTTTCCCAGAAGCTGGTGCATGATAGGGGATGTGATATACCCACTCAATGCCATGCTCTTTGGCCCAGCTGTCTATGTGGTTGTTTCAAAAATGAGTCCTTTCATCTGATTCAATTCTTTCTGGGGTGCTATGTCACTGTAAAACCTTTTTTTTCAAGGCCCAGAAGAGTGTTCTGGGTGGTAGCATGGGAGATGGCATATGTTTCTAACTATCCAGTGGTTACTTCCACCACTGTAAGTACATGGTGCTTGCCTTGGCAGGTTCCCTGTATTTATATTTCAGACATCATCCTCCATACCAGAGAGTTTTTAACCAATTGGCTTGCTTGATTGTTGTGTGTATTTCACATTCATCGATAACCCATGCAATAGTGTCCATGGCCAGATCCACCACTTGATTATGAGCCCATCTGTATGTTGCATCTCTGCCTTGATGGCCTGAGGTGTCATGGGCCCACTGAGCTATAAATAATTCAACCTTTTTTGGCCAGTCCAGATCCACCTGAGCCATTCCACCTGCTGTTTGTTTTGATGTTCTTCAGTAGCCTGACTTGGATACATGAGTATCTACATGACATACTTTTATAACCAGGTTCTCTTCTCGGGTGAGAATATCTTGCCACAATGCAGCAGCCCAGATGGGTTTGCCTCTGCGCTGCCAGTTGCTCTACTTCCATTGCTGTAACTACCCACATAGGGCATTTGACGTGAGTCAGTATACAGCCAGAGCGCTGACCACTTTTCTCATTCAGCAATATCTAAAGCCAGCTGGATGACCTTCACTTCTACAAATTGGCTTGATTCACCATCTCCTTCAGCAGTTTCTATGACTTGTCATGTAGGACTCCATACAGCAGCCTTCCATCTTTGATGCTTTTGCACAATACAACAGGACCCATCAGTGAACTGTGCATAGCACAACTCATTTTCTTGTAGTTTATTACACAGCGGGGCCTCTTCAGCATGTGTCACCTCCTCCTCTGGCAATATTCCAAAGTCTTTGTCTTCTGACCAGTCCACAATCACTTCCAAGATTCCTGGGTGACTGGGGTTTCCTATTTCCTATTGAATCCTTTTAGCTTCCACTGCAGAATTCATTCAGAGGATTTGGTCTCTTCATGCATCTTGCTAGGGAATAATGAGATGTAATAAATAAATTATAAAGCAAGCCTTGTTTTTTAAGTGACATGGCTTTTGAAATTCATGTAAGATGTCAGGAAAGAAAGAAAAAACACAAAACAAAACAAACAAAAAAAAAAACAGACAAACAAACATTCTATTCATTTTCAATGAAAAACATGTATTTTTATTACATCATGCTTCAGGAATAATTTATGAATATAATATTTTGAGCCTGTGTGGAGGCACAGAATTTGATAGATTGAGGTAAAGGCTAAGGGTCCTATAGTTCTATACTATTAATCACCCACTTCAACCCTTCACTCCTAAATTTCCAGATATTCAGAAATCCTTCTCAAAGCCCTTATGTCCTGAACAGATAGCAGAGTTTAAATGTGTGGTGTTTGCACAGAAACATGCAAGAGTACTCCAGTCCTGCCATGCATGCCTTGTGCTAGCTCCATGTGTAATACACTTGAGCCCCTTGATTCCTCTGTTTCATAGAAGGTTATTTGCAGAGTCAGTCTATGATCAGGATGCACTGGGTTCACAGTGCACATGCCACGCGTGCAATAGTTCTGGTATATCTCTGTATGTCATTATGTGTAGGATTTTCCAGAAAGGATGGAAGCTCTCAGCACATAACTTCCCATCACATCATGTTGCACTAGCATTTTGTTTCACTGTTTGATAACTATGTGTGCCTTGGCATTTTCACTTTCATCATTCTTTCTATCTCTGAAAATACAGCTTTGAGGACTTCATCCATCTAGAGATAATTGGATTCTCTTATTGTCACTATTTCTTACTGGAACATACCGAGCTTAGAAAATTTGAAAGAAAAAAACAAAAGCAACCTGATAAAGTAAAATTAATATGGATGTGAGGGTCATGGACTTTATTTAACTTCTATGGACAGTTAAGAATGAACAGTTCTTAGGAGACATCTGAGTACAAAGCCAAACTTTCATCCAGTGAAAATGCTGGTAACAAAAAGAGCTCAGTCAGTTTAAAGAGCTCATGCTGCAGTGAAAGCTGAAATCTGAGGACTACCTTGAGCAGTGTTAAAGCCAGAGCCAGTGATACTGGGTAAAGAGCCTGTTGATAACTAGAAAAATTACTGGCTTTGCTCCATTGTATTTCTTCATTTCCTGCTAAATTGCTTTCAAGTGATACACTAGTGTTAGTATCTTGAATAAATTAATATATATAGCGCAGTGCTCAGAATTACCAGTTCAGTTTCTCTACCTTGAAAATATTTATGTTTATACAGATTTCAGCTGATTAAAAATGATAATTTCTGTGGTTACTTTGGAGCAGATAGGCATGGTGATAGCTAAATTTTCCAGGTGTGGAACACACAGGTAGCAAGGGACTGTGGGGTATAGACACATACATGTACGATACTTAAAAAGATGTCTACAATACCAACTCTGGAACACAAAGAAAATCTAAGAAAAAGACTGCCAGTTCAACATGAGATTAGATAGTCTAAGGTAGAGCTGGGTAGAGCTGCTCTTTGAACTGTGGTCTCCAAGTCTACAGAAACAATCTTTGTGTAACTTCTTTCTAACTGAGAAATTATTTTTCAGGGACTCTTCACCAGGACCTCTAAGAGAATGCTGGAAAAAAAAAAAAAAAAAAAAAAAAGTCCAAAGCATGCCAAAGCATGCAGTACCATGTGCATACTTATTACATAAACAGAAAAACTTGAATTTTCACTTTTAATTGGAAAACTGCTAAGTTTCCATAGACAACTTCTCAGAGTAGATACACTAGTAGTATTTTGATGTTCATTTTAAAGCCCTTTCCATGAGAAATAAACCCTATATGAAATTGTGTTTCTTTTTCAGATTAATTTCAAGCTAGAGTTCAATGGACTATTCAGAATATTGCAGCAAATGCTACTACAGCTTTTCAATTAATATAGCTGTAGCAATTCTTATCTTACAGTCAGTTATCTTGTTTAACAGATTTCTCTGTTCTGTGCAAGCTCAAGAAACACTAGAAAAAAATACCACTTCCAGGCTGTGTGGATTTCTGTAAAATAGAGCAGAAAATAATTATACAGTTATATTTATATCTCTAAATTTCTAAAAATTATACATTTATATCTCTGTAAAATAATTCAGCAGAAAATATGTATATGTGGTAGGAAAAAAGTTAGGAAGTAATATTGCACTCATGCATAACAAAGCCCTATAGAACAGCGAATGTTTACAACTCCGAAAAACTAGATGGAATTGATTGGTACAATCACACCACTGTTTTCTTCTTACTGCTGTAGTTCTGCATGTAAGTCATACCTGCTTTTCTGCACTCACTAGATTAAATAAATAAATAAATAAATACTGGCTTACTGTTTTACTAAACCCTTAATAACCATATCAAAGTGGTTTTTTTTTTGGTTTTTTTTTTGGTTTTGTGTGTGTGTGTGTGTGTATTTTATATTATTCTGTTTCTAAATGTTTCTTTTCACCATAAGAAATTAAAATTCAATTACCAGTAATATCTTCAGAAAGAGTCTTGATAGAACACAGCTTGCTCAACTCCTAGTGAAATTCTGTGCTGAGCCTACAGATAGACTTTCAAGTAATTTAACAGGGAGAGGAAAGACTTAATACATGTCTTTTCCCCTTTGATTTTAGAAATGGCAAAAGCAGTATCTAAGTCAAAATTTGCTTTAGCATGTACCTGTTTGCTTTCTATTCTCCATCTGAAAATTTCTGTTTAGCTGCATACGTCCCCTTGGGTTCTTTTGTCAATGAAGTATGTTATTACAATGGAAGAAATAAATGCAAGCCAGCAGAAGGAAACACTCAGATGAAAAAATGACTTTGAAAGCACAGATTCAGGATATGTAAACACAAATAGAAAATATTCCCTTGGAAACTTCCTGGAACTGGAGGCCATTGACCTCATAGACCTGGAGTCTTGTAATACTGTAGTATCAGGCAAACAAATGAAAAATACTGTGTGGCAAAAAAAACAACAACCCACCTCCCAAACCCTGAAACAAAATACAACATAACACAAAGTTGTGAGAGTGTGTAGTATGCTTGGGACACCTTGTGATTGTAATATAGGATTTGGAGGAAGGAGATTAAGTCAGAAGTTAGCATGTTTTAAATATTAAGATGCATTCCGAAGATATAACAAAATGACACACAGTATAATTGGAAGAATCATTAGCATGATCAGTTTCTGCAGTGTTTTTCTTTTTGTTTGTTTGTTTGTTTGTTTATTTAATTTATTTTTTTTTTTTTCTTTAACTGGAGTGCTTGATTTTAATAAGAAAATGAAATGTTAGAGAGGAAGAAAAATATATTAATATTGCCATTCAAGTATCTTCTACAATAATAGTCTCTATTATACAAAACTTGTAACATGTAGAAAAAATGTGGCATAGGAAAGGTCTTTAAAGATTTAATATTTCTCAGGTGACTGAGGACCTGATAGCCAGCAAAACTTGACAGCCACATTCTGAATTGTGTACAAAGCTTCTGCTTCTTAATCTACTAAATCCAACTTTGGTATACAACACAGAATTGAACAAGCATGTAAGAAAATGATTCACAAAGGAAATTAGAAGTGTTGTGGAATTCAGCAAATTACTGTAAATGATTTATACTGTAACCTGATTATTTCATTGTGATGTCAGTCATTTTCAATACTGTGTCTACAGAGGAAGTGCTATTTTTAAAAGAAATATTGGTAAATCTGAGTAACACAGAGACTCCATTTCTAAAAGGGCTGCTGAAGCACTCTGGAGTACCTGCTAAACTAAGGGTGCAAGGAGAGTTCTCAGAACCTCTTGTGTGGGCTCAGCATGGTGTCTCTAGTTGTACATTCCCATATTCCTGAGCTCCGGGATGCCACCAAAGGCTGTTCTCCTTACACTGATTCTAGGATCCTTCCCGGAGTTCCCACAGAAAGCTTCTGATAGTTTAATTTAAATATGTCAAACTGAAATGAACCTAGTGAAAGACAAAGCTTGTATGCCTAGAGGTAGAACCATTTTTCCATTGCATATTTTGGGGCTAGGAATATCCCACACTGAAGATCATCATTTGGCACTAACCAAGAGAACAGTTCTCTAATATTGCCTTAATTAGAAAAAGCCACTGTGTCACTGTATGTGCAGCAAACATAAATTCTAATCACTCAAGTGCCATTAAATGGCTGTAATAGAACATCATAGTTCACTACTGCAGACTAGTAAACTGCACGTGGCAGCTTGTATTTCAGCCACTCAAATTATACTTGGCTTCAGACAATGCTGTAAGTCACTGGCTCACAGAAGCACAAAAGCTGACTTCTATCACACCAGTACAGGTTGAAAAGAATAATTTTTTCCTCCCTGGAGATTCAAAACCTGAAGTATAACTGGTGATATACAAGGACCAGGAGAAAGACTGACATTTGATTATTCCATTTTATGTTACTATTATGTATCATTAGTTATTTTTATTATTTTCTACTATATATTAATCCCATATGGTTATTATATACTATGTTTATTGTTATTATATACTTTAGATTCCGATATGCATTTACAGACAAAGGTAAGTACTGCTAAAATGAAAAAAAATTTTCTACAAATCGTGGCTGAGAGGCCATAGGGTCCAAGAAGCAAGCAGAGAGTGAACAGCTATTTTGTGCCCTAAGACTGTCAACAGACAGTGGATTTCCTCCCACTTCTGCATTGGTTTTAATAGTTTTGTTGAAAGAACCAAAGAGAAAGCATCATAGCTAGACATGTAAAGATTAAAGCAAAAAAGGAAATTTGTCCCCCTTCATTGTGATTAAGGTTGTCTTCTGTGGTAATACTACCATAATGAATTCCTTTCCTTTGCTTCATCCTTCTCATTCATGTCCAGACCTTTAGCTTTACAAAAATACTGGCCAAGCTAATAAATCTGATCAGAATAAAACGTTGAGATTGAAATCAGTACAATGACCTGTGATTTTGTAAACTATGTTAACCTCTATGTGGTAGATGAAAACAACCTGAGGCTGTCATTTGGTGAGTCAGTATTGCTGCTGGAACCAGCAGAATGCCACCTAAGAAAGAGCATTCTACATACTGATCTGTTCTCTCAAGAAAAATTTAGAAGGTTTTGATAGAATTTCTCTTACAGAATCACCCCACGTTTGATACTGTCCTCCTTTTTTTTTTTTTCCCCCTTTTTTTTTAATCTGCTTTACTGATTATTATTCTCAAAGTATGTCTTAATTTCTATTTTCCATGGGTTTTTGCTGGCCCAGGCCAGCAAAACATCAAACCTGGTTAGGTTCCTTAGCAGGGTCTAATGAAAGTTTTATGTTAAAGACATTGAGCCAGCCAGCTATTCCATCATGATTCAGAAAACTATTTATGTATATTTCTGAACTAAGGGCCGTTAGCAAGAGTAGAAGTGCAACTGGCTAATGAGGTAATCAATGTTTAAAACTTAAACATATACGCCAGTCCCATGCTGAACTGAGATTTGTCAAGGTGAATGATCAAAGTTGGAATGAAAGACACAAAAAAGGTGATGGGATGAAAGCAGAGAATGACAACAATTACAGTAGGAATGTAACATTAAGGAACTTGGTGTCATGATCATCACAGAATATAATATTTCTTGTGTGAGTTAATTAGGCGTTGATTGTAATTCTTCAAATCTCTCAAAATGTAAATATTTTATAAGGTCTTTTCCTATTGAAATGCCACAAATCATAGATCACTCACTTATGTAAATGAAGAATACACAGATCTCTAAAAGAGAGATAGCTCATTGCCTCTTTCATTCTGTGATTTGGGGGGGGGGACAGAGGGGGAGGGAAGGAAAACAGAATTCTGTCATGTAGCTGAGAAAAGAAGGTAAGCAAAAAACAAGAAAATAAACAACATGAAACTATCTCTAGGTACTATATAAATCCTCTTAACTTCTTAGCACAGGTTACATTTATCAGTTGGTAAAAACATTAATAGACATTCTCCCAAATGCAATGTGCACCCAATTCCTGCAAACAGGTATTATATACTTATATATATATATATATATATATATATATATACTTATATATATATATGGATATATATACTATATATAATAATAATATACTATGGATGAACATATGCAACAAACAAAATTCTGATCCATATTCACAAACTACTCCAAGTTTACAACAGCTATTTGACTACTGATTTCACTAAGGTTTTTGAGGTTTTGCCCCCAAAACAAGCAACAACTGTCATATAAATGACAGTGCATTTAATCAAATGTTTCTTACTCTTGTCTTTCCTGAACATGCATGCTTCCTAGATAATAGCATGTTGGGACAGAAGAGCAAAATTTTAGCTTTCCTGCTGCACAGAAGACCTGCTTTCAGATAGTCTTCATTCTGCTATCTAAATAACTATGCGGTACATGGCAGAAGGATACAGCTTCTAGCAAGAACAAATTTCTATACCCACTGAGAAAAGATCCATTTGCCCTTCCACTGAGGCCTTGATAATGTTTTTAGTGCTGCTAACATACATCTGTACAAAACTATGAAACGCAAAACTACAGAACCACTCATCTGTATGCACAAATGATTTTTAAGTCTGTTTCTTTTACTGATAAGCTACTTCAGCACAGTAAACATACCTGGCTGATGAGTCATTCTGGTGCTTATTTTCCAGGTTTGGAAAATGAGATTCTGTGTGTCCTTGAGCTTCACTCTATTGTCCTGGTGGAAGTTATCATCTGCTTGTCTGGACTTCTGGGAAAGTTAAGCGTAATCATCTGAAGTCAATGTGTTCGGCTTCAAGGAAGAAAAGATGTACTTGATAATGGTCTAAAAATTTAAATTATTTGGAAAATAAAACAAAACAAAAATGTTTTAGATTCTGGTGGTGACATAGTGCAGCGTGGATTAAATTAAAACACTTCTTAGCTATAATGTGAAGGTAACAATGCACCACAGATGGAAGCAGCATAGATATTCTTGCATGCATAGAACATAGACTCTGGTTCAGCAAATTACTTTAGTGACATGCTGAATTTAAATCATATATATTAAGTTAGTCTCCATGAAGCTAATCATAGCTTTTAAATTAGACATGTGCTTAAACTTCTGATTGAGTCAATCCCAAGAGAATCAAAAAATAAATATATTTTAAAAAAAAAAGATTTTTTATAGGAATATTTTCTTATTCAAATCGATAAATAAATCTTTTTATAAGGAAATTTCTCTAATTCAATATACAGAACAGAATATAACTTGTTTAGAATGATAGTTTTTAAAAATCTTTCTCACTGCTTCACATTCATGATGTATGTGCCAACGTACTTTGCAAACTTCAGTTAAAATCGTAATTTCTGGTGTTTGCAGAACTCAATGCATCTACTGAATAATTTGTTTAGGCTAGCTTTACTGACTGACGAGTCCTTCTCATTCTGCTCTTCATCCCTAAGGGAAATTAAACTGCTTCCACTTCAAAATAAACAAAACCAAACCCAAAACCAAACAACAACAAAACACTACATAAGTTACTCCTGGGTTTGCAATTCTTTTCTGATTTTCTTAAAGGAATCCCAAATTTATTATCAGCTTTTCAAAAGCCAGATGTTCTTGGCAAAGAAGCATGTTCTCTGAGTCCACAGAGAGCAATGCTACATCTGATCAAAGGCATGCTGGGATGTTATAATTTTGATTTGGCTTGTTTTCCTAGCTAAAATAACCCTAGGGTCACTAATTGTCCTGATAAACATCTCTCCTGAACCCTTTAGTATGAAAGCAAACAATAAATAAAAAATTACCTACCATCCTAATGCAAAAAACAAGGTGTAGTATTGCTACTGCTAATTAAAAAGATCACTTTGGCTCATATCAAATGATTAATCATTAAATATAATTATTTAACTGCATGTAGATAAAACAGCAAAGGAAAGCTTAGAAAAGATGGGGGAAAAAAGCTTTGAAGCTTTGTTGTTCACTGTAAATGAATACTTAAGTATCTGAAAATGCAAGACTAAACCATTTTCCAAGTAATGTAGTGACTATAATCTTGTTTACCACACCTCTTTTCTGAAGGCTTATACCTACAAAATAATTTGAATACATATAGATACATTTTGTGCTGCAAAACAGGGATAGCAAATAATAAATATCTGTTTCAAAAAGGAATGTATCTTTTATAAAAATAGAACCATATCTACTATCCAATCAGGGTACACAGACAAATGTGTTTATGCTCTGCACACCTATTTCATTCATAAAGATAATCCAGGACTTTATTTTCATGTTAATTTTATATTGCTGCAGCTACATGTTCAGTCAAGCTAAATATTAGTAAACAGTATACACATTTAATCTAGGCAATATCTTTTTCCCTGATGTGAGTATCAAGTTGCTAGATGTACCTACCTTTTTACTTATCAGTGTATCAGTGGGTATGACTCTAACATTTCAAACATTAATGAAACAACAACAAAAAAAGTCACTTTTATCAACCTAATAGATCTGTGAAACTACTATTGTTCCTAGATCACATGTAGGTACAATAAAGACACGTAAATATCTTAATAAAAAGTCCTGCAAGGAAATTTGAGGCAGTCTTCACATACCCAGTTAGAGTCATGTCCTTGACACTTCAAAAAAATCTAAGTGTAGAATTGCTGTCTTACAAATGCCAATGCAATAAAGGTAATACTGACCTTCTTCATAAAACACAGCAGCAGAAGTGTGTCAGTGTTGTCACTTTACCCTGGTGGTGCTCTCCCAGTGGTGATTAATACTCTCTAAGTCAGGAGCCATAACTCTGATGAGCCTTTAATACAGTAAAACAACAGAAGCAGTTAAGGGCATTGTCTGAGAGAAACGGAGAGGAATTTAATCAAGTTGCTAATATACTTTGACCAGAACTCTCAGGTACTCTTAACTATAATCAAAGTCTTAAAGGGACTATTACATTTCAGCTCATGCCTCTGTAGGGGCTAGTTACTGTTATACCCTGCTGAGAACAGAGAGCAGTAACTTGGTAAGCATCCATCACTTTTGGAAAGAAAAATAATTTTTTGCATTCACATGAGTATTCCATTTGGGCTACATCTAAGCTATGGCTGTGGTAGGATGAAGGACAGAGGAAATAACAACAGCGTTCAAAAAGACTAATTTAGTTTAGCAAGGTTAATTTCCCTTCCTATAGCTAGAAGTCCATAGAGAATTCTGCACAAGGGATAAGCAAGCTAACACCTCCACTCTATTGTTAAAAATGATTTTGCAACTGAACTAGGAACAATAATAGGGATTGTTGCAGCCGAAGCATTGCCTCTAATACTGAAAACATTGTAATCCTGAAATGTGACAGCATTGCAAATCCAGATCCTCAGCACTCACTCATCCAGATGGCCAATAGCTTATGGAATAAAATATTAATTGTATTCATTTATGTTTATTAACTAATTGTGTTTGGATCTTAATGTCCAAAGATGAAATATTCATACATTACTCCATGCTGGTTGCTGCAAAACAGCATACTGGCAAAGAAAAGAATTCAGATCTGTCAGGAGCATGAGCTATATTTAAATAGATGTATGTTGTACATCTAGCTGTTAACCTCTGTTCACTAATTCTGTAAGAGAATACAGACACAAAAATAGCCAACATTCACTGACATTGACAATACAAAAACACCAAGCAGTATTAGAGACACTTTTTAAGGCATTCTTTAATATATTAATGACCCCCTCAGACTGTAAATCAGAAGGGGATTTGAAAACCGTCCTATTTCCCTGTTCTTGGGGACATTTTGCTAACTAAAGTGGTACATCTTAATCAAATTATTTCATCTTTTTCTCCATTGAATACACTCTCTGTTTATATAGAGTATGGATGACTCACTTATCACAGAATCACAGAATCACAGAATCTCTAGGTTGGAAGAGACCTCAAGATCATCGAGTCCAACCTCTGACCTAACACTAACAGTCCCCACTAAACCATATCCCTAAGCTCTACATCTAAACGTCTTTTGAAGACTTCCAGGGATGGTGACTCCACCACTTCCCTGGGCAGCCCGTTCCAGTGCCTAACAACCCTTTCAGTAAAGAAATTCTTCCTAACATCTAAATACAGCATTCTATCAAAGATAATTTAAAATTTTAAACTGCAAAAATGTACTGAATTAGCAGGCCTCAAAGTCACTGGCAAAATTTTCAGCTGTATATATATATATATTTTGTATATTATTTATAAAAAATGATCCCTGCAAAAATGATCTGTTACACATCTTCTATGCCATTCTAATAATGTTATTCTCAGTGGATTTCAGAAAATGAGAGGATTAAATATGGGACTTTGCACGGTAAATCCTTTTATTTAATAAACAAATCAATTTACATGTCTCTTCTTTCAGTGAACCAGGAATAGATTCCTTGTATTGTTGAAAATTTGCATGTAAACAGTTTGCTAGAGTCCAATAATCTTTGACCAGCTTCTGTCAGATATTCCACATGTGGAAGGTATTTATTTGAAAAAAAAAGTCATGTTATGTGGGATTTTTGATTAGCAGAGTGATAGAAAATATACTGAAATGACAAAATAAGTGTGAGTAACACTTAGCAAAATATAGTGATTGTGATATGCAGTTAAATCACAATACCTATGTCATCCTCATCATTGGTCTCCACAATATACTCACCATCATGACACCGGCTATTCCCAGTCACCAGGAAGGAATACGTGGGTTGAAAACAGCTCAAACCCATTGCTCTCTTCATAATTCTTCTGCTAGTTGTCCAGTTTTTATACTCTATGTTGGGTTGAGCAAAGTATACTACCTTCATACTGCATGGTTAACTGAGGGAGATATTCACAGCCTTTTAATGAAGTCAGGAAGAAACTTTTACACCACTAGCTGCTCCACTCAAATGACATAGCTGTTTATCTAAAGCAAAGGCCACCATCTAGTTCCCTAGATGTTGATACAAAGTCAGCTTTCCTTGCAACAGCTTTGGTCACTCACACCTTGCATTATTGCCTGAGTTTTTTTGGGCACATTGGCCATTTTCACTGAGCCTTCTTCCACTGTAGGGGTCTACTGGTCAGTCACACCATAATATGAGGTATGCCAGAATTAGTTGCTAATCTAAATAACAACCTAGTAATCAAAGAAAACAAAAAAGAATGATTAAACTTTTCCAAAACAAAAATTTCTTCCTCCCTTTCTTTATACTAATATTAAAAATTTTCTCACCATTTTAAACAATTTGTTACCAATGTTTAGTAAGTGAAGATAACAGCACTTGTTCAAGATGCCTAATTATTTTTAGGAAGCAGCCAAAGCAGCCTGCCTTACAAGGGGGACAAATAGGAGTTGAGGTGACCCCAGACAGGAGCAAATGGGGCCACAGCAGCAGACTGCCACTCCTATGGGCACTTACTTGTTGTCTCCTACGGGACAACAGTTCTGGGATGAGCTGAAACGGGGTCCTGTGTGCACAGGCAGGGCTGAGGAGACCCCAGGAGAGTCTGGACAGTAAGGCTGTCTGGTGTTTTTTAGGAACCTGAAATGGTAATCATTTTTATTACTTCAACAATTACATCTTCAAAGTAATTCATTTGTCAGATACGGTATAACAAATATATGACCTGTTTTTTTGTTTGTTTGTTTTTTTTAACTACAGGCCTAAATCCACAACTCAATCTACAAAACTTTAAACCTTACATTCTTCAATAATACTGTCTCAGCTTGGCCAAATTTAGGATTATTCAGGTGCCTAATTGCATTGTAGATAAATATTTTCAGAACATTTTATTTAGAACTTAAAAGCCTCAATAACTCACTAGTCAGGCAAGGGTTTCACTCTGCAAGAGATATAATTCATATTTTTTTCACTGAAATATAAGAGGTCAAACATGAAAAGGTAAAATCATACACACACACACACAGAAAAAAAAAATAAAATAAAAGAAAGGTTCAGCTAAGTAGTCCATATCTCTATAGGCTATTGACCTTGGTAGCACTTCACCTGGTAGACAATAAGTAGACCAAATTACTATACTGCACAGTTCACTTTTGTGACATCAGTTTAGCTCTTTAAAATGCCTGCCAGTATTTGAGGGGCAAGCTTGTCACTCAGTTGTCAGTGCCTTGCATAAATTAAGTGAGACTACAAAGAATACTGTGAAATAGTTCATTGTTATGGTGATGTGTGTGTCCCACGTTCATTCATTCATCTGTCAATCTGGTCAGCAACATGGGATGTTTCCTTCTCCCCACCATACAGGAGACTCATTTCTCCTCTTTCCACCATATACACAAAGTAAGTAACCTCTTGTTTCTTATCAAAAGAAATTGAGTAAGACTTGGATTTTACATCTTGATTAAAGTACGTATATACCTAGCAGAGTTCATTGGTTCAACAAGTTTCCACAATTTAGTTCCTGAAGAATCATTTATCATAATCTATCATATTCATCTGGCACAGAAAAACATAACTTTATTTTATTTTGAGCTCTGTCTTTTAGTTTGAGAAAAAAAATAATGAGCAATTGAAATTGCAAAAAGTAACGATTAGAGTTATACTCTCCAGTAAAAAAAAAAAAAAAAACAAATTTATCCTAAGCCTGTACTCACCAGAATTAATCTAGAATTAAGCCATTATTAGCTTTACAGAATCAGACACTCAAAGGTCAACAGAATTTATCAAAAATCTCTGAAATTCTAAAAGACATAAACAACTTATATTTTCTGTTAATTTTGTTCATCAGTTACTAGAAGTTTAATGTGGAATACAACTCTATTTTTTTCCTTAAAATAATATTCCTCGTTCTGTACCTTTAAACTGGCATAATAAAAAAAAAGGAAAAGGGGAAAAGGAAGGTTTTTATGCTTGCCTTTTCTCATCCTTGAGAAACAAAATATTTTCTGAAAAAACAGACATGAAAACTAAATAAACTCCTTACACCTTTTGTACTTGATTGAAAGAAGTAAAATAATAATAATAATAATAATAATAATAATAATAATAATAATAATATCATCTTCCAATCTTTAAAAATACTTACCAGGTTGGTATATACTTACTCCAAATTATAATAGTTTTGATGGCTTAACTATACTAATAAAGTTAAAAGTGTGGGCTCTATACGTAGCTCTGCAAAAAAAGGCTAATGGGAATTGTCGGGATGCATTAGAAGTGTTGCCAGCAGGCCAAGGGAGATGATCCTTCCCCTCTCCTCAGCCTCAGGTGAGGCTACACTTGGAGTGATGTGTTCAGTCCTGGGCCCTCCAGCACAAGAAAGAAATGGACGTTCTGGAGAGTCCTGTAAAAGGCCAAAGAAGAAAAAAAAAAAAAAAAAAAAGGATTTAGGGACAGAAGGGACAGAAGCTTCTCTCCAATGAGACGACAAGAATGAGAGCTAAAAGTGTCCAGACTGGAGGAGGCAAGAGGAGAGCTTGTCAATGTATACAAAAACATGTAAAAGAAGACAGAACCAAGCTCTTTTCAGTAGTGCCCAGTGACAGCACAAGAAGCACTCTGGAATTCACAGTTCCTTGGAGTGGGAAGCCAGCTCCTGCACTTGGCGCTGAAAGAGGTTGAATAGGCCACCTGTTCGGGAGGATAGGGACAACACCACCTACCTCCTCAAGAACTTCCTCATTGCCCAAGAGGAAGCAGTTAAGGCATTTCATCTCCAGACAGCAGCAGAGGTGCCACACAAGGCGATACAAGTGCAGAGGACAATCTTAACATCGCCAGGCTTGCCAGGGCTTCAGCCAGCTGTTCGCCCATCATACTATGTACTTGTCTAGCTGTATGCTGGATGTTTTGTCTGGATGGATGCTGTGAGAAGCAGTATCAAAAGCGATGCTGAAATCCAAACAGATTACATCAACTGGCTTCCCTTTGTCAGCTAGATGGGTAACCTTGTCATAAAATGAAATTGAGTGAGTTCAACAACACTTTCCCCTTGTGAACCTATGTTGGCTATGACCAAAAAGTGTGTTGTCTCTGAAGAATTTTTCAGTAACTCTCAGAATATTCTTCTCCCTAATTTGACCTGGCACTGAGGTGAGACTGACAGGTCTGTAATTAACAGGTCTTGGGCATTGTCTTTGGCAGCCTACTCTAGGTGGCCTTGCTTGAGCTGGGGGAAGGGGGGGGCGGGAGGGTTGGACCATGTGAATTCCAGAGGTGCCTTCCAACCTCAGCCAGTTCCGTGTTTTGGAAATCACTTTCCAATTCTATGGCAGCAACTGCACTCAGCACCCACTGCCCATGTTCCACCACAAAGTGCTGCGCATACAAAGTCAGAGCATTTGTTTACCCAAGTAATTTATTGTCATCAGTGCATAGGCTGAAGCTTCTGGAGGGAATGGACTCTCTCCAACAGTTTGGGTGCTCACTGCCTGGAAGAAGTTGAGCAGTCCAGCTGTTTGCGAGGCAGGGCACAACACCATCCCTCTCCTCAGGTACCCTCTCGTTGCAGCAGCAGAGGCACTGCAGGAGGTCATCCAGGCGCAGGGGGCAATCTTTCCTTTGCCAGGCTTGCCAGGGCTGTGGCTGTCAGGTGGTGAATCACAGCCGTCCTCAGGGCGTGGGGGGAAAAGCCTTTGCTCACCAGCATACGGGCGCAGGGCTGCAGATGTTTGAGGTGGAAGCTGTGGGGTCGGGCATGCCTGGCCGTGTGCCCGACAGACTGCATCTCTGCCACAGCGCAGTTCTTTGGCGGCGCCGTGCTGCTGGTGAAGCTGGCCGCGGCTACTCCAGGCTCAGGAAGGAGTCCGAGTCGTCTAGCCGCACCCCAAGCGTGATCTCAATGGAGAGGGTGCTCTGGGAGGCGTTGGCCAGCCTGATCTTGCAGGAGCGGCGGGAGGGCAGCACCGTCAGGCGGCAGTGGCGCGACTGCGGCAGAAGCTCCCAGGCTGCTTTCACCAAGGCCTGGAACCAGCGAGTGGTTTCCTCCACATCCAGGTAGGAGCCGGTGCAGAGGGTGCGCAGCAGGCTGGGCTCCTGTCTGCTCCTCAGCTCGTCCTCGGGGTGGTGGAGGAAGCACAGCATGTCCCCCACCAGCCGCTCCCTCGCGCAGGCGCACTCCAGCTCCACGCGCAGGCCGGGCTTCCTCGCTGGCGTCTCCCCCTCGGCGCCCAGCTCCGGGTGGAAGGCGTGCCCGGGGGGAGGCCTCAGGGGCACGAGCAGGCGGTAGAGGACGTTGTCCTGCCGGGTACTCCCGTCTTCGGAGAAGCAGCCCACACCGATGGCCGGCTGCAGCCGTGGCTTGAAGAGAGCTTCCCCGGAGAGTCTTTGGCAGGCACCAAGAAGCTTGTCCACCAGCTCCTCCACCACCTTGCACTTGTCGGCCATGTATGGCACTGGCCACTGGGTGCTTTCAGCCCAAACCCTGCCCAGATCCCAGGTGTCATCGGTGTGCCTGTCGTCTTTTACACCATTCTTCTTCTTCTCCTTCTCCTTCTTCCTTGGGTAGCTGCCCTGCTTGCTTCTGCTGCCTAGCCCAAGTCTCCATTTCCTGAGCCACCGGCAGAGCCCGAAGAGCAGGACAAGGAGGTCAATAAAGGTCCAGAGCTGCCACTGCTACAAGGCAGTGAAGAGCAGGGCTCCCAGGGTCACCCTCCTTGCTCCTTCTTTCCCTGAGCTTTTATGATTGATCACAATGGTACACACCATGGAAGACCATTCGGTAAGTTCAAGTCAGCTGTCCCAGCTATTTCCTCTCCCAGTTTCTCGTGAACCCCCATCTTACTCGCTGAGGGTCAGAGCGGATAAAAAAAGAAACTCTTCATGCTACATGCACTGCTCAGAAATAAAAAAACATTTGTGTGTTACCAACACTGTTACTGCCCTAACTCAAATCTGAAGAACAGATTCAGACACAGTGGTTTTATTTTCCTAGTGGCAATTAAGTATGGGCTAAATTCACAGGTGGGAGAACTCTCCCCACCTTTGCTAAAGCAGGTTAGCTATCAGGGTCCAAATTTTAAGTGCCATTTTGGTCCTGAGAGTCCTTTCTCATACTAGCACATAATATGTTTCTTTATACAGGAATAATGACCTGCAAAACAGCTACATCAGCAGCGCTTTTCTCTATGGTGTAACTATGTCCTTGCACTCAGCTTTTCCATATACAACTAATTGTGAAGAAACAAAATTTATATTATTACCTAAATAAATATATTGGATTCTGCAGTACTCATTGGGAATTATTTATTTATTTGTTAATTTTCCTGAGAAAGAAGGATTTTCAGTTCACATATTTACTGCTGAAGGGAAATGAAGCTTAGCATAACAAGAATTAGTATGTCCAAACTCTGCAAGCACTATACTAGGGAACAGTTTCCCTAATACACGTAGTCTTACTTGCTGTAAAAAAGCTATTCACTGAAGTAAAGCTAGACAACAACGTAAATATTTGAGTGATTACACTCTGATAGTCACTCTAAGTTTCTATGAGTTTCTATACACATAGATATCTTAGATAGATATCTTTTGGCTCTAGCACATGCTGACTTTTCAGTTTCAAATAGATTTAAATGAGTTTTTTTATGTCGAGTAATGTGACATATAAAGTCAAAGTATCTGTGAGTGATTTCCATTCAATTGCAGTAGGAAAAGGAGAGAAAGTATAGATCAGGTTGGTAAGACTAGCAGTTTGTGTTCTGGGGAAAAAAAAAAAAAAAAAAAAAGAATATGAATATAATGAATATAAATATAAATAATTGTGGAAATACATTTCAGATTAAGTTCAATGAATTATGAATTCATAAACCATTAAAATGGTATGCAGCATCAGCAAGAATAATTTCTGCTGAGTAGATTGCTAAGAAAATCATAGTGATTCTAGAAAAATATATTTGAAAATACACCAAGAGTGAAATGAAATCTGTTTCCTGCTGACTGTGTGACACCATACAGTTTGAGCAGAATCAAAAGAATTTGTGCTATTCAACTACATTGAATCGATGAGGCCAGGAAAATACTTTAAATCTATGAATGCTTATCTTCACAGTGTCCATATACTTATTAATTTATAGTATTTAAATATTAATTTTGCTTCTTCAGAGGTAGTACTCTAGCAGACTACAACTAAAGAGCATAATATCTGCAGGACTGTAGCAAGATGTATAGTATACATATCATCTCTTAATCATGCCTAACCCAGGGGTATAAAAATCATTTGCAGATGGAGTCTTTATTCTCGATACTGGAGTCCAAAAGTAACACTATACACATTTATATATGTCATATCTCAACGTTGCATTTACGTTTCATGAATTACTCGGCCACCTGTAAATTTTGGTGCCATATCTGACTCTATCATTATTAAGTACAAAGAATCACAACATTAAAAATTGCTACTGAAAGCTACTTTCAATTAAACAGTCAGGTCCCAATTCAAAAGTGTATCCATTAAAAATTAGCTTCTACTTCTGAAGTGTAAGAAACTGATTAATGTGCATCTATATATATATATATAGTAGTACTAAAGGTGTTTCATTCAAAATTGGTTTAGTTGTAAATGGAAAAAAGCCTCACAAATACGTTAAGACATGAAGCATTTTAAGTGGGATAGACAACTGAACCATTAAGTCATTAATATTTCACTGACTAAAAAATAAAATAAAATAAAATAAAATATGAATAAAAGAAATACATACTTTTTATTCCTGTTCCTGTATTATTTCTAAAACAATGGCTTTCTACACTTTGACCACTAGTGTATAGTCCATAATGATACCCAAAATATGTTTCTATCTGTATCTGTGCCACTAAACCCTTCATAATAAGTTAATTTCCTTCCACCATAGAAATGCACCAGCACTTCCTATCTGCAGGAGACCTGTCCATCGGAGACGAGTGGGGAAGCCTCTGGAAGAATTCTGCTTTGAAAACCAAGAAAGTCTAAACACTCAGCAATCACTAGTTTTGAAGTGGAGAAACCCTGAGAAAGTCTGTTGGTGTTAATATGGTATTGTATCTACAAGCTTTGTATCTGCAAAGACAAGCTTAAATGTTGTGGGACTCTTAAATTGCTGAAGATACATCTGTAATCACTGGCATCATCTGGAATGATTTAATGGGCTTCTTCAACAATGATTGTGGATCCTGATGTGGCAGGAGCTGTTCTCTCTCTGTCCAGGGAAACAATGATGAGGACAACCCTGTCTCTGCTGCCTGCCAGACCTTGTATCTCCACACTTCCCTATCTCATCAATACCAGCACCTTAACCTGTCCACATCCATGCAGATCTCTTTCCCGTTTACCAGCTGTGTCCCTTGAGGTCCTGGGCAAAATCCTAAATCATT